GTAGTTTTTCGTCATAGAACCAAGTTGACATCGTCTTCTGACAAAGTCGAGTCTTTAACCGCGTAGGTTGGCTTAGCCGGGGAATGCAGTTCATGCCGAGGGAACGCAGCTCCCCTCTTCGCCCGCCTAGCTGCTGGTCCGCCTCGAGTTCTTGTCGTTGATTACCGTTCTTCCGCATCAGGCGACGAAGCGTTCGCACGCGTCCACACTCGTCCAGTTCTGCATGTACTCACAATTGACGCCAGCTCATAACATGTTACCATCGTCCTGGTGTTGATGTTTTGGGCAGAACATCTCCTCCCGATTTTGCAGGTTGGTGTCCCTTCACTGAACTATAGATCTTGCACATTTCTCATAGCAATGTTTTTTAACCAGAACTTCGAGGTCAATACCAACATTACTTTCATTATCTAGACAACTAAAAATTGGAGAATTAGGATGGATCAGATCCTACTTTAACAACACTTTTTCCAGTTAATAGTGCAATCCAAACAAACCAATGCTAAGTTGAATCTTGTTTTAGAAGGTATTGAAATCAACGCGGTCCTTTGACGATTGCGAACTGAGTATAAGTTTTGCATTATTGGCTTTTTAGCAGTAAAATATCAACAGAGATGTCATCTTTAACCACGTCGGACTCGATTATGCGTGTTAGTTCGACGTGGCACCCACTGAAACTCGGGGAGCAGCAGGGCGCTGCGTGACTCAACTGGCATGTCATGTAGCCTGACATCCAGGCAAATTCATGTCCATGCAAGAGTTGATTATTTATTGCGCCCTAAAGGCGTTATGCCGAGAACAAAACTGTCATTGTGATACGCCACTTGTTAGTTCAACTCTGCGGCACGATTTTGCAGGTTCCGATTCCTTCCGGCTGCACGATCTTTGATCCATACCATCAATCCATCCTCTTCCCCCATCACATGCATACACCTTTCTTCTGTCCTTGGAGAACAAGTGAGACGTTGCATTGGTAATTAAACTAGTGAATTTGCTAAAAGATTGAAACATTTTCCTTAAACTCAATAATGTACTCACGTAAGGAGGTATATTTAAGAAGTGGTTTTCATGATTTTAAAGGCTCGTTTCCTTTTTCCAGTCTATTTTGAAATATATTATGACTATTGGGCTATAGAGTTTTCTTGCATGTCTGCGGGGTAAAGTTTACACGTGGGTTCACTTACTTCATCAGTTTTGTCAACCTTCACAAGTGTTGCTAAATTCACTTATCATAAAGTGCTGCT